ATCACAGATTTGATGAGCTCTCTCAATCTGCTGACAAGTGATCCATGTGTCATCTCAGTTTGACTAGGAGGTGGTGGAAGTGTTGGATCAGAGTTTTTGTTGGAACCTATTGATTGTGACTTCCTTGAGATTCCCATTAGCATTTGTACATATTCATGAATTGCTTGAGAAATCTGTGATGCCGCGTTTGGGATGTCAGGTGCATCAGCAAGGTCGGCCATCATTGCATCACGACGGCGAGATTTGGTTTCTTCTCTACTGCGAGCAGCTTTCTTCCGTTGACAACTCTTGGATTCTTCAAATGTAAGTTCACCATCTATGTGACAGGTTTAGATAGAAGCACACACATTTAGATCTGAAGTCGTGGAACAAATCTGATGAGAAAGGGAAATGTCAACACACCCGAGTCATCATCACTACCATTGCGGGATTCAGTATCAGAGCCTGAATTTTGATCTGAAAGAGACAATCATCAATCGGTATGCATACTTAGCTATCTGAGCCAGATACAGTTGAACGCACCATTGTCCTTGTAATTGGTTTGTCTCTTTTCGTTGTTCTGGCCAGATTGAGTAGATTGAGTTGGTCCAGTTTGAGTCTGCGTGGGTTTGGCCTCCATGTTTGAGGAATGGATTGGTTCTGTTTTGACAAAAAGAATATTTAGCAAAGAAAACACCGCGTGCCTGAATAGAACAATTGAAGTAAAATCCACTTGCGGAATTGATAGAGGATATTGTAAAAGTCAAGAAATACAATCCAATTTTAAGATTTATTTCAGATTGAGAATGGACCTTCCTTTGAAAAAATAAAAAATAAAAACTACAGATTGAAGTCAGTAGTATTGAAGAATATTCAATGAACCTTTTGGATAACAACGCACAAGATCAAGATACATATACAAAATGTGATCAATAGAGTTTGAGTGAATTCGAGTGATGATTGCAATCAAAGGACAAGCAGGAAGCTCAGCTGTCCACCACACTTTTACAAAATAGAAGCAGACTCAGATTGAGGACAATGTATGTACAGATCCACCTTGTTGGTTGGAGGAGGGTTTACCCCTTTATTGATCTCTTATGTATTTGGCAGATGGTCCATTTGGGTATGTGTGAATGACCTGGCGAGTTACAAAGAAATCAAAACAGAAACCAGCAATCGAAGGGAGCGGGAAAGTAGTGGATTTTAAAATCATGACCAAAGGAACAAGACTTTCATAGATGGGGAGGTGTTTCAGAGGTGTTTAAGAGGACATTTGTGAGATCACCGTGTGTGCTCGACGGTGATTCCTTCTGAAATGGGCATGGTGGATGGTTTTTGAAGGAAAGTGGTGGACAATGGATTCTGAGAGGTTCTGTGTACATTGATTGGGGACATAGGATTGATTTGAGGGTTTCCATACGGTGGAAAGTACCTTGTAGAGATGTTGAGACAGTTGATTGGAAGGAAAGGTTGAGAAAAAAATCCACAGAATGTGATTTCCAGGAGGGAAAATGTGATATTATCAAATTCTTGGAAAGTAATGAAAAAAGGCTTTTTATAAGCATTCTGTGATTTACAGAATGCTTGTAAATAAGAAATCAAACACATTTCACAGAATGTGATTTCCCAACCTTCAAGAATGTGAATTTTTACAAAAAAGCGCTTACATGAACACGGCCTAAGGGTGCATTTACTCACACAATTTCTGGTGAGAAAGAACATTCTGTCAACTTTTTAATGCAAAAATGAAACATGCACCACCTAATAGACACTTTAAATTTTGCAGAATGTGATTTTTCACCAGAAATTGCTCAAGTGAACACACCCTAAGTGTTAAGTACCTAATACTCAAATCATCAATTGAACACCAACAGATTGCTGATATTTTGTTTAATTGAACATCATTTGGTGAATCCAATCACAACATACCTTGAGATTTTTACAATTCACTTATTTTTACAAAAATCTTACTTAATTGAGAAGGAGAGAAAGATACACATAAAAAACCAAAAAAAACCACAGGAAGTTTTAAGAAAAAATCTTAATTGGTTTTCTTATCTTCCTTTGGTACCTTGATCATATAAGGTACTAGATTTGCATTTAATTTTCTGAACATCATAGCAATTAGATTAGATGGTAAATCTCTTCCTCCCCTTAAACCAAAAGAATCAAAACATCAAAAAAAGATCTCAAGACTTGGTTATTGCTCTAAAATGAGAGATTTTTTGGGGGGCTTACCAACGGTCTTCAAATTTAATGATCTTTCCATCTTCCCCTAATTCTACACGTACAACAGATTCCATCTTTTTCACATAATTTATACCTCTGATAGTATACTCTTGAGTCTGCAATTTTGAAGAATACCCAACCCCCCCCCAAAAAACCCAATTAATCAAAGTGTTTCAAAACTTTTTTCAAGTGAGTGATATGGGATTTTTTTATGACAAACTTACTTGTTCCCATTCAATTAGCTTAGGTTCTGCTTTAATGATTTTCCAATGTAAAGTCACAGATCTAAAGGGAAAATATCTAATGGTCAGATTCTTGATTTCATTTTCTATTATAATGTGTTTATGAAGTATGAAAACTTACTTTGGAAAGACTTTTGGCATAGCAAACCATTGTGGAGCAAATTGTTTCTGTAAAACACGATTAACTTTATCCATCAGTTCGGTCATTCTGTATGTGCATATATATGTCGATGCTTTTTCTTTGACTTACAAATCCATCACATGAAGCGATCGGATCACCGAAATGAGCATTTTGAGACCAAGATCGATTCAAGATCTCAAGTGAAGGTTGACTAGAAAACAACTTTCGAAAAGTTTAACATAAAATCAATTCGGTTTGGCAACTTTTGAAGTGTACATATCAATTGAGGTATGTAAGTTTGAAGTTTTACCTTGATTGAATCTTCTACTATCCTTCTTTGATCTTCATTTAATAATTCTATACCATGTTCAGTCGTCATACTTTGTTTTGAAATCGATTGATGGTAAATGAAAAAAGGGTAATGATATGGTTTCGTATTCGTAAAAGAAGAAAAGAAAAGTGTATTCAAATAAACTTAACAAAGCTTTCTTGATTCTGGATCCCATGGATCGAGCAGTCAAAAATTAAAGGGGTGGCTGTGTCGTGTCGATCGACGATGATGTCACTGGCCGTTGGTGAACTGTAAACCCTTGTAAGCCCATAACGTCTAAATGCAATCACGACTTTCAAGTTGTGCCGCCCTGCTCTTCGAGGGTAAAGTCTATTTTGATTGGATGACTCGAGGTTCTTTGCCACATGATGGCAGTTCAGATATCTCTGGGTCACTCTCAGACTCATCCTTGCCAGTTTCCAAGTGAGCTGAATAGTATTATATAGTAATGCAATAAGACCCACTTTAGAGAAATTCTTTCTTTCCTCAAGTTGAGAAGTGGTTGTCCAAAGCCCATCAAAAGAAAAAACAAAAGTGATATCCTCCCTGGGCCTGAGACTATTCTAGCCGCATGTTTTGAAACATCTAAGGAATATCTCTGTATGGATCAGCCAGAGAAAACGATGGCACAATATGCCTTCCGTGAGAATTCGATTTTACCAGAGCAATTTGATTATGCGACTCAGCGTTTCAAAGCAAATTCGGATCGTCCATGCAAGAAACAGAATTCGATTAACTCGGCATTCAATCTTCGCGCTTGGAAATGTGTTTCATGAGAGGAAGGATTGATCGCTTCTTTTTTATCTTATTTCAATGAACAAGATTAAACGATTCACTTGAAAGCAAAAATGAAAGGTGTTGAAGCATCCATTTGATACCAAAGATACCACATAGAATGAGAGAAAGCTGTGATCTTTCTTCCTGAGAAGTGGTTTAGATTATGTGTGGAACATCGTAGCGATCGTCACTTAGATACAAAAACTTCCCTCCTCAATCTTTTTTTTGAACAACCAAGAGCAGAAGAGGATCTAAGATAGCAAAGTGAGCGTAATTAACACTTTGAAAAAATTAGACAAAACTGTTGGTTGCCATCCAATAATTTTCTTGTTAACACATGTTTTACCTCGCGCGCCATCTCCTCACTTGAAGCCTTACTGATTCCTGATTGTGCACTTCCTGCTGGCCCAAGGAACAAACCTGTGATTGTCACAGATGGCCTGCCGCTTCTGCCTCATCCTTCTACCGGTGCAACTTGTGATTAAGGACAGTCAAGGACCCGTGGTTTGTCTCCTGTCCTGCTACAGCGGTTATCAGCACGTCGATCCGTTTATGCAAAGCAACACAATACGCGAGGAGATATGTATGGATATTTGACACACACAGCACCCGTCGTTCCATTAGGATCACTAGTTTGAAGATCCCAATTTTCAGTGATTACGACGTTACGGATGTTTGATTATATGCTTTGACACAATATACAAAGTGTGTAAAAACTGATGTATATGAGATTGCTCAACTGTGTCCGACTCCCAATAGAACCTGTTCTTGCCCTGTTTTCCATTTTTTAACACGACGACCTACCCGTACAAAATAATCATCTTGATCAGGGAACGTCCCACTTCCGCCGACTTCCCTCTTCACGTCACTGCGAATCGCATTCATTATTACTGGCCATTAATAGTCAATTGTCACTTTTCGATCATTGCCTCCAATGATTTCGCATCTCTTACAGCGGAAAGACGGACGACTATATTTACAAGGCTCTGTCATTTGGTATTGAGTAGACTTTGTCATCATTCCTTACTCCTGTGATTTCCCTCTTAGCCTGACTTTGTTTTTTCCCCAAATCATCAGTATGAATTGTTGTATCGACGTTGTAGGACAGAACAGAACAGGAAGATCAATGTTATCCAACTGGACTCAGGGTAAACTCATGTCATGTGACGGGTTCGTCAGAAAACATACAGGATTAAAAGTCGCTCGACGCAGGCAACATTCAGCATATCGATTACCCTACGATAAAGGCCCTATCGGATAGTCCGACTCAAAATACCACCAAAAAGTATGTATCCAAGACCACATCTTTCGGTCGAGTCTTTTTACTGACATCAGCTTGACGAGGTGGAAAATTATGACCACTTCATATTGTTTTCTCCAAGTTCTATCCACCAAAGGCAAGCAAAACAAGCAGAACAGGTGGTAGGGATTCCCTTATTGTCATCATGAAACCTCACCTGGAAGTCAACCTCTTTTTCTCTGAGTCTCAAAGCAACATTAATCATGAATCGTTCACATTTCTCTATGTAGACATCTGTCCATCTTTGTCATTCCTTCTCATCAAAAGGTCCTCTCTTTCCACAACGAATCTCCTCATCATTGATGCTTGGCCCTCGGCTGTTTGTTCGCTATCACAACTTGCATTTATTTTCTGTTAATCGCCGTTTGGAAATTTGAACTTCTTCGCGTGTTCTCGTCTTTCCTTTTTCATTTGTCGATGAAATTCCTGTGCTTAGGATCATTTTCAGCCGAGTCATACTTTCCGACATCCATGAATATTTGGATGTTTGGAAAGTTCCCTCCTCGGCTCGGGGATCACCCCGAGCTCGGTCCTCGGGTTTACACTCGTGAGAACCTCGGTTATTGATGGATACCCAATTTGTGAATGCAAATTGGAGTATCCATCGCTACCTGTACAAAACATGCGGCTAGAATATCGGCGTGCCAAAACTGGCATCATTCTTCAGAAAAGCTTGAGAATAACAATTGTCATAAGATAACACTTGCAGCCGTATGGGCTTAGCTGTACCTACTGAACCCCACCTATAGCCAGGCTAAATATACATTTCCGCGAACAAAATACTTCTTCCGTGCAGGCGTACATGGTGGCTGTGTGCACCAGTGTGCATCTCCATCCATTTTAACTGGGATACACCAGGGGGTAAACCTACGGCAAGAAAACGGTTTTTGAACCGTTTTCTTGCCG